CATCCGTTTTAATTTATATGAACTCATTTGACTGGACACGGAGTTTAAGAAAAGAGAGAAGACTTTTGAACTTGTGGTGTATGAGGCACATATATTTTGTGTGGCTATAAATTATTGTATAAAGGTAAATTATTTTTAAATAAGGAAAGAGGTCATTCTTTTTGGCACAGACTAAAAAGAAAATAGGTTTACATAAATTAAAACGGAGGGAGTATTAAATTTCAGCTCAGTCCAATTGGACAAGGATTTGACTTATGAGGAGGAGTCAGTGGCCATCCTAGCCCAGCGGGTCTAGAAGTTGAGATCTAAGAGTTATCCTTCAGTTCGATTGCAGTGGAGAGGTCAGCCGATCGAGGCAGTCACGTGGGAGTCTGAGTCCGACATGCAGAATAGATACCCAAACCTTTTCACAAGTCCAGGTACCTTTCTATGTTTGTTCGAGGATGAATGTTTATTTTAAAGGTGGAGAATGTGATGACCTGATAGGTCATTTTAAGTTTTATCCTTTATCTCTGTGTTTAGAGGCCTCGATTAGCCCTGTTTAGCGATTCTCGATTTGCGTACGCAGTCCGGGTTTTATTCCGAAAAATCTTTATGTGAGAAATTGAAGAAAATGTGAATTTTGCCTTAAAATGATTTGTGTTGACTACGATCAACATTTTGTGTAAACGGACCCAGATTGGTATTTTGATGGTCCTAGTGGGCCCGTGTCATGATTTGGGACTTGAGCGTATGCTTGGAATTGAATTCGAAAGTCCCTAACTTGATTTAACGTGATTTGTTAAAAACTAGCAATTTGAAAGTTTAAATAATTCCTAAGTTTGAACGTAAGTTGACTTTGTTACTATCGGGCTCGGATTTTGGTTCCAAAACTTGCTATAGGTTTATTTAACTATTTATGACTTGTCCGAAAAATTTGGTGCAAAACGGAGTTAATTTGACGTGATTTAGACGTCCAGTTGTAAATTTGAAAGTTCTTAAGTTTTTTTTGAAATTTTCATATATTTTGATGTCTAATTCATGGTTCTAGGTGTTATTTTGGTATTTTGATCATGCGAGCGAGTTTGTATGATGTTGTTACACTTGCGTGCATATTTGATTTGGAGCCCGGGGGCTCAGGTGAGTTTCGGATAGGTTACAGATCGATTTTTGGACTTGGATAACTGCAGGTTTGCTGATATCTGGTGTCTGTCATTTTGTGCTTCGCGATCGCGAAGCTACTCTCGCAATCGCGAAGGTGAAGTTGGGCTGGGGGCGTATTTCTTCATCGTGAACACGATGTCTAGGCCGAGAACGTGAAGCACTGGAGGGGTTTCCCTTAGCGAACGCGACCAGGCCATTGCGAACGCGTAGGGTTAAGGGGACCTAGGAATGGACATCACTATTACTCTACACGAATGCGAGCCATGGCTCATGAATGCGAAGGCTAGGGTGGAGAATCCTTCATGAACGTGTGAGGAACATCACGAACGCGTAGGCCATTATGGTTGGTGTGCATCGCGAACGCGTCAGGCCCTTCGTGAACGCGAAGAATGCCTGACGCCCAGTGAATTAAATATCCCAAAGTCGAGATTTCTTCATTTTTCATCATCTCCAAATTTAAGCTCGGCCTAGAGGCAATTTTGAAGGGGAGTTTCATCTCCACTTCATAGGTTAGTAGATTTTAATTCGTTTTCTTCCATTTTCATTAACACCCATTAATTTTTAACTTTTAATCTATGCTCTTTCATGGTTGAAATTAGGGATTTGGGTAGAATTTGGGGTTTTTGTAAAATTGAGATTTATACCTCGAATTGAGGTCAAATTTTGAAACTAATCACATAACCAAGCTCGAAGGTAAATGGGTAATCGAGTTTTGGTCTGAATCTCGGGTTTTGACCAAGCGGGCCCTGGATCAACTTTTGTTAAATTTTTTCAAAATCATTAAAGATTTAATCTTTTTCACTCGTGGGTAGTTTCTAAAGCTTATTTTGAATTGTTTGAACTATATTTGGTTAGATCGATTAGCTTGGAGGCGAATTTTAGAGGAATGGCCCGGTTGAGCTTTGATTTGATTGCGGAGTGAGGTAAGTGTTGGGTCTAACCTTGACTTGAGGGAATTAGAAAATTTGTATAATGTGTTATATGGATTGTGTGAGAAAACAATGTATATGCGAGGTGATGAGTGAATATACGCCGTTAAGATATTTGTTTTCATGTTTCTCGTTATTTCATGACTTATTTTATTCCATGCCTTAATTGTTACATGCTTTAATTGCTTTATATGCCGTAATTTGTTATTTGTTATTTAATTATTCTTGTATCGAATTGATCGTCCCTTCCTTGACTCCGTGCTTAATTGCTACTTGCCTTAACTGTTTTACTTGCACACCTTAATTGTCACGTGATTTACTTATCCTGTTATTTTTGTAATATTTGTTGCATTCCTCTGATTATTATGTGGTTCCTTTATTGCCTTGAACTTATACTCTTTGATTGTAGAAACTTCTTGTAAATTGAGTTATTAGATTATTTACGTTTATTGAAATTGTTTGTGGATCGGGTTGCGCGGCGCAACGGTTTGTGATATGGTGGAATAAGGGAGGATTATGATATTGATAAATGACGATATGGTGGGATCGGGTTGCGCCCCGCAACGGTTTGTGTACGTAATGCTTGGTATTGATAAATGATGATATGGCGAAATAAGGAAGAATTATGATATTGATTATGATGGTACGGTGGGATCGGGTTGCGCGCTGCTACGAATTATATACGTGATTCTTGATATTGATAAATGATGCTATGATGAAATAAGGGAGGATTGTATATGTACGGTGAGATTGGGTTGCGCGCCGTAATGGATTGTGTGTATTGTACTCGTTGTTGTTATTGTGTTAGTTTTCAGCATTTGTATATGAAATTACGAGGTCTGTTATTTTGGGTTCTCTGATTGTGAGGTTGAGTTCATTTTTATAAATTAATTGCTTTACTTTCATTCATGTTTTCTTTCCATGTTATTATTATCATTAGTACAGGTTATTGTAAGTGGCCCGTCTTAGCCTCGTCACTACTTCATCGAGGTTAGGCTTGACACTTACAGAGTACATGGGGTCGGTTGTACTCATACTACACTCTGCACTTCTTGTGTAGATTTCGGAGTGAGTCGTAGCGGCGTTCAGTAGATTTGCTCGAATCCAGTCGTTGACAGGGACTTGAGGTACAGCTGCACAGTATTCACAGACCTGAAGTACCCTTCCCTCCTATCTTTACTATTTTTTTTTAAATTTCCAATTAGTGTATTTTATTCAGACCATGTTTGTAGCACTCTAGATGTTCATATACTCGTGACACCAATTATTATACTATACTTCAGACTCATATTGTTCCATTGTTAATAAATTGTCATAAATTGTTAAAAATCGATAAATTTTCAGTTCACGTAAGCCTGCTTAGCAAGTAGATGTTAGGCGCTATCATGACCCCGAGATTGGGATTTTGGGCCATGACAGGAGAGGAGACCTACTCATACTAGCGTCACCCTTGGTAGTTTGACTAGCAGTACCAGGTGTAGGTGCTGGTGTTTCAAGATTATCAGGTGACTCAATGTTATCTATAGTATCATCTATACCATAATCTTCTTGTAGTCGCTCATAATCTATATTTATATTTTCAGGTGAACTTTCAGAAACATGTGTAAAGCTAGTAGAAGAATCACCTCTTATTTTTTTACTCTTACTAGTACCACCCCTACCAGTACACGTTTTTTTGGCTGCTCTAGATATATCCATCATGCAAATTAATTTTTTTTTAAAAAATTAAATTAATAATTCTAAATAATAAAATAAAAATGAACATCAAAGAAGAGAAAAAGATGGAACGAGTGTAGCGTCAGTCCAGGATGCCGCACTAAATTTGAGATTTGAAAATTGAAAACCCACTCACTTCACTTGTAAATTTATAATATCACACTTCAATTGAAATTTGATAATACTACAATTCACTTGATAATTGTAATTTTATAGCGGATACCTTAAAAAAATTGATAAAACTTGAAATAACACTTAATTGAGAGCAATACAATAATCAAGAGAGAATTAGAGTAGAAGAAGAGAGCAAATTGTGAGAAAAAATGAAGAAGAAAGAGGCTATTTATAGTTTTTAAAATGTTAAAGATGTAATTTATCAATTATTAGGGGTGGAGGCTATTTTTTTAATCGAGTAGGCCAAAATCGCCATTTTTGCGAAAAAGAGCCATTGGCCAACGGTCTTCCCAGATTTTAACCGTTGGCAACGGTCAGATTTTTTTTATAAGAAAAAAAAAGTGTAACAGTTACCGGACTGGAACCGAGTAAAAACTCGATAACTCCTGAACGGGCTAGCCGAGTTCTGGGGCACTAGTAACCAAAAAAAAGCCCGACCCCGTCCGGACCAACCCCCTTACACAAGCCAACCTGTCCCGCCCCTTACCGGATCGGGCTAACTCGAGCTGACCCGGGCTGTATTGGGTCGAACCATGTTGTCAAATCGGCTAGCCCGGCCTGTTTAACACCTTTAATTCAGACATCAAATATTGCAGTGCAGGTGACCCAGCACTGCTACGGTCATTTTCTAATGTATTTGGCACAATTAAGCTGCCTTTGAAACTTTAAGCTGTCAAATCTTACTTCAATCCTTTGGTGGGAAGACTGGGACCAGCAGCTGGAAGAAGTGCACTTTTCATTTTGGACGTCTTACCTTGATTCTGACACTGCTAGGCAAGTTTTCTTTTCAGTAACTTTAGTACGTCATAATTTGTCTACAAATATGATAGCATAAAACTTACAGATATTCAGATCTCACGACTAATATCTTCACCTCAGTATTGTAGATTGATCCTCAGCAGGAAACGTTAGTTGGTCGCTTTGATAGTTCATCACCCATATACTGATTGCATGTTACTAAGTTTGTGCTTTCATAATTTATTTGGTCTAAATAATTGCTATAGACAGTTGGGACAAATGCCTATTTGGTCAAACAACTACATATGTAATGTACATTGATAAAAACATTACTAACTTGTGGTAAGCAGATACTATATACGCGGGGCATGACTTTATCACTCGAATGATTCAACAAAAGCCTTTGTCTTCTCCTATAAACATTGACTACTGCAAGTTCATAAATAATTATTCCACCAAAGAGAATGGCAACTATCAAAGATGCGCAATGTCCCATTTGCAAGTCAGAAGGGATCTAGCCTTCTACATAATGTCAAAACGTATACTGCAGGTCATCATCTCATCCACATTCTAGAGGTTTGAATTATATCTAGTGAGGAAGCTATCGAACAGGGTGACATAAATAATTCTATATTTTCATTTATGCCAAACAATGTAAAGTACTTCTTTGCCAGCAAACGGAACGTTGAGAGTGGCATGCAAAATCAACCCGAAGTTTTGTCCCCACCAAAACCCGAGTCCAGAAATCCTGTCTCGTTGAGATGACTTATGTCGGCCCAGAGTTTAATAGTCCAATCATCCTTATCAGACAAGTGAAGTATACCGACAGATGTATTCCAGATCTTACTTTTAGACCGCCTATGCGGGGAAGCCCGCCTGTGAAGTGCTCTGATTGCACCCCCATGAGATACCACAACTACTCGTTCTCCTACATGGTAAATACACATTTCAATGCCAAAAAAAACATCTTTGTGATGTATCACTCTTTTATCAATCCAATAGTTAAAAGAATACCTCTGTGCTTCTTTGCAATCCTCTGTAAACAAGAAGTGCACCGTTGATAAAGTTGATCTAAACTTTCTCCTCCTCCCTGCAAATAAGTTGTGGGAGAATTGAATACATGCAAACCCTTCATAAGATAGACTAGATCATGCAATTTATGTTCCTTCCCCTCTTTTTTCTTTTTTTACCTTGGGAGTGGGTGCTCGATCCTATGCCCAAGGAATCCAGATTCTAACTTGGTTACACCTCTGGCAGTTAACACTTACATTTGAAGATGGATTTTAGGTCGATTTGCCAATTTAGAGCTCATATTTATTACATGTATATGTGACGAAGCAGATCGAATTGCCAAAAAGAAGAAACAAAGAAATAAGCAAATTGAAGAAAGCACATTTTTAATATGACTACAAGTTTATTCAAATGAATTAGGATAAAGCTGATCATGGCAGTAATAGTAAAAGGAGAAAAGGAATACTCACTGGAATTACTTGGTCACTCCGGTCAGATAGAAAAGCCTTATAAGCCATCGGTTGGCTTTGGGCTGCTTCACGGAGAGAAATACCTTGAAGATCTCCTAGATGTCTCTCTCGAAGGTCTGGATCTTTAATGACCTATATTAAGCACAAACCGAGACATACAAGTAACTATTTTACTCCAATATGTTTGGTAGTCAGCTTTATCTGAGATTACAAACAGCTATAAAACCCTCAACACCTCCCTCTCCCTCCCTCATATCCATGCATATCAGAGAATTGCATCTGTTCCACATTGCTCGTTAACATTGTTAATGAGCTTATATTGCCTCCGGAATCTAAGCTTGACTGAATCAGAAGATAGACTCATACCATAGATCTTGAATATCAACTAACCCTTTCTTGGCCTCTCAAGCATATTTTACCTCATATTATTGCATGTTATTTTCGAGTTAATATCCATCTATGGAACTATGGAAGACCTTCTTACTAAGAGGCTAAGAGCTATATCATACAATTCCTTAGAGCATACAGAGAACATCAATGGACAACAACATATAACAGAATCACTGAACTCCTCTGCTCATGCTCATAACAATCACATTAACAAGAAAAAGAAGTGAAGCAACAATAGCTTAGTTGTGATGGCTTCATAGAAAAGGTAAAGCTACATAATAAAATTTCAAGAAAGGGTGAAAGTTAAAAGCAGTAGGAATTCCACAACAAAAGTCTCTAAACAGTTGAAACAGAACTGATACCACAGGTTGATTACTGGGAAAAACAAGAGTATTCAGGAAAAATATAGTTCGAAAACAAATGATAAAAGAAAGTGATTTTGAAAGTAAAATAGATATCATGAAACAGTTGCTGCAAACTTTCTTCCATATACTAACTAATAAGTTAAAGAACTTGCAGAAGTTTCTCATTTATCGCATTATCCAATTGAGTAACAAAACCAAAAATACACAATCAGACATGATGTGAAAGATGTGATGAATTTGAATTTATATCTCTAGTCTCAATTCTGACAATGCAAATTTATAGTGAATTCATACCTCTAGACCCCCACAACTCCTTGCTATTGTCTCTGCTGTCTCATGTGCCCGTTTCAAGTCAGATGAATATATGACAGAGATCCTTGGCTCCCTAGAGAGCCGGGCTGCCACCTTCAAGAAATTAGCTTCAGGCATTGCACCAAAACGCCGAAAAAGAAAATGAAAAATGAAATGAAATAAACAAAAGGTTGAAGTTCATATAACTCCCTTAAAAGTTTTTAAGCTGGGAAACTGTAACATCCCAAGTCCCAACCCCCACCCCCAATCCCCATCATGAAAACAAAGAGAATAAAAAAGGGAAACAGATTATCTCACTTAACTTCTGTTCAACAGCCAACATAGTGATATCTGAGGAGTTGAATCTTTTCACAATCACATTAATATAAGTTCATTACACATATTGTTCATAACGAGGTGAGAAAACATACCTACGGGCTACGCCCACTAATGGCAAAGATTGGCAGCAAAAGGATAGACAGAGAGAAGGGGAAACAAATTTGGTACTTAAGCCAAGCGTGAAGCCATAAGACCTTTCTTCTCTTTCAAATTCATGTGTCCATCTCAAAAATTATATGAGGGTGTAGTATACATCCCAACAGTTCAAAGCATTTAAGTGAAATACTAACAAACAAATACTGTCCTACAGTGACTTACCGCCATAGCTTGCTGCCTCCCGCTGTCGTTTAATTCGACATCTAAATGCCCCTGGTTAATAGATGAAACAAGCATCAGTTATTGCATCCTCTCGTTATGATCCATATATTGTTATAGGATTTACCATAAAAGGCCAAATGCTGACAATTTACAAGAAGTTCAAGTGAATACGATTTGTCCCATAGAATCATACACCAACAGGGAGAGTATTACATAACATATTGCACCCAATCGTCAAGGACTTTCAACCACCTTAGGTGTAGGTTTTTGAAATTTTTCTATCTGTGTTTCCTCTGGTTTTACATATGCCATTTTAGCTTTATGAGGTTGTACTTTATCATCTTCAATCTTTAAGAAGCATCGCACCATTGACATCTTCCCATTAAAACACCGACACAGTTTATCAAATTGCAGCTATCTGGCTAAAACATGTGTATCTACCCTACAATGAATGGTTCCCCTGTCACAGCTTTTACTGAATGACCTTCAGTCTTCCACCTTTTTCACACGCTTTCTGAGGCAAGTGGGGCTTATGTTTTTCTGGGCGGTGTTCTGGGTGGAATATTGGACATGGCAAAGTACATATCCTTTACATTGCCAATATAATTAGCAAAGTAAGGAATATCTTTTTTGAAAAAATGGAACCATTGTACAAATTTTTAATTCTTCGATAATAAAGAAAGGAAACATTCTACACCTAAAGTGTCAATTGATATAATAATTAACGCAGCTACTGTAGGTTTACAGTTTTCTGCAGGTCATATAAAGAAACTTGAACGATAAAAGTAAAAACACTATACTTCAGTCTAATTAAAAGGTAAATGTACTATTTTTTTCACTTTTATATAAATAAGCAAGGTGATTCCGAGTTGTTCCTCAAAGGAAGTTAATGCTGTGAAGGTCTTTGAAATGAAATTGAACGATTAGTGTAATCTCAAAATTAAATGAGAGTCTTCATATTTAGAGCAAATTGCTTTATTTATGGGTTTATGTAAAATGAAACTAATATATCCTCTATGTTTAGATCTGATCCTTCATGTACAATGTAACAATCTCAATGAGGTTTTCAATAAACCGGTTATCATTCCCAGCGAACTAGGACATTTAAGTCTTATATATGAGTTAGAGGAGAAGAAACGAGGCAGCTCAAAATTAGCGAGAAGAAATTTCAAAAATGTTAAAACAAGAGCACATGGTAGATAATTTTGCTAAAATTTATCGCCTCACATATTTTTTGCAATATGAAGAATTCCAATCACTGGAATTCAATTGTTTTGCCGAAAAACTATAATATGATGTCAATATATAAGTAATGAAAAACTTGGTCACATTTACGAAAAGAAAAATATACACATTTAGTCCCTTATGTTTATTAATAAGAGCAATTGCATAGTATTTCATCTATCTTTTCCCAACCAATTCTGAGGTGATCTAACAATAGGAGCTCATTCTCCAAAGATCATGTAATCGTCACATGAATGTAAATGAGGATGAAGTCAGTATTTTAACAGTTCGAAAGAACCCCTTGCTGCATCCCTGATGCATATCCTTACCAATCTCTGGTGATGGAAAATGATACCTAAACGTATTAACTATTGCAATTGAGAAATGAGGTACAGAGGTGAAAGACTAGATATGAGCAAAACTATACAAAGAGCCATAGAGGTACAAGTTGATTTTTTAGATTAGAACAACAACCACCCAGTATAATCCCACTAGTGGGGTCTGGGGAGGGTAGTGTATACGCAGCCCTTACCCCTACCCTGGGGTAGAGAGGCTGTTTCCGATAGACCCTCGGCTCCCTCCCTCCAAGAACTCCCCCACCTTGCTCTTGGGCTGACTCGAACTCACAACCTCTTAGTTGGAAGTGGAGGGTGCTCACAACTAGAGCAACCCACTCTTGTCAAATAATGGGTTGTAATCTAAAATAATGGATTTTTTAGATTACATTTACAAATAATGGACTGCATCAGGGATGCAGCAAGGGGTTCTTTCGAACTGTATACAAAGAGCCATAGAGGTACAAGTTGCTTTTTTAGATTACATTTACAAACAATGGAATGCATATGAAACCTTTTCAATATTTTGAGATGTCTTTTTATTTGCATACATTCACATGTTTTCGGTAAACATTTTCTGGCGAACATAAATTTTGGTAGTCAGAATTCCTCAATTGATTCCAAAATATAGATGATGGACTAAATACGAGCAATAATGACAATAGAGACTAAACATTCTTCTTTTTTTTTTTTAATAAGGTAACATTAGATTAAGCACTCTATTTTGCTATGACAATTGTAACAAACTAGATGGAATGCTAGCGTGAAAGGAGTTTTCTAGATTAGAAATACTCCAAAATCAAGATACTTCCCCTATCACACTTTATGTAGCAGACTTTTCATTTTAGTATGTTCCAAAAAGACCGACACATTTTTATATTTAGAAACAATTAACTTTAAAGTTCTCATTTTACCTTTAATGAGGAAATTTATAGCTACACATATGCCCATGGCTTGTTTTATACCCGTTACCAGTCAAACAAGGCCTTATAAAATGGGAGGGAGGGAATATAACGTTTTGCATGTCACTTTTGTTGTGCATAGATCCCCAAAATTTTAAGAAAATACAATTCCAGATAGAAAAAGTCAGACACATTAGCAAAGAAAAGACAGCAGAAAGCTAAAACGAGGCAGGAAATGACCTGAATTCTGCCATCGGCATTCCATTCCGTTTCACCATGACGGATTACTATAATTTCAGTCAAATTAGGACTCACATTGTCAGATTTAGCATGTCCGCCACACTCAGGCTGCGGTACAACCCTGCTTANTATATATTTAAATCTTTAAATTTCCTCTAAACATATATATTCCGAAAGTAGGAGCACGCGCATCAATTGCTTATTTGTATTTTGAGCACAAGACACTAGGTGCAAGTGCATCAACTGCTTATATACAGATGTATAACAAAGTAAAACAAAAAGAAAGGTAAACAATGTAATTGCAGACCTAGAAGTAGAATCAGCCATAGGAGTACTGGAAATGTGAGTGAGATGACGGACCGAATTGAATCTCAAAGCTGGTCTGAGTATATGCTTGGAAATTGCAGCACTTTGTAAATATTTTGAGTAACAAAAATTCACGGGCTTACCGATCTGAGAATGGCGGAGATTGTCAGGTTTTAGTGATCCTCCATTAGGCAATGTGCGTAATGAGGTCATTTCCATCCGTAGAGGATTTGTATTCCTGTTATTCCTGAAAATAGCAAAATTGGATGGGCTTACTGATTTGGGCCAGCCAAATATCAGTAAATTGCTCCAAAACTTGTGATGGGCTGAAAATTAGTCAATGTTCAATAATGAAGTCGAAATTCAAAAATAGCCAGATTTACAAGTGGTAATTGAAAAATAACCACGGTTTCAAAAATAATCAAAATTTAGCCACTTTTTATGTAAAGATAAATCTGAACGAAAATACTGTTCAAAATTCGGAAAATATTCCAGCATAATATACTGGAGTTCCAGTATAATATATCGGTCCAGCATAATATGCTGGAAGTTCATACATAGGTACTCCAATCTCCAGTATATTATGCTAGAACTTTTCGCGTGTTGGAGATACAGCATAATATGCTGGAAGTTCATACACAGGTGAACCAATCTCCAGTATATTATGCTGGACCGGTCCGTGTTGCAGCAAAATAATGACTATTTTTCAATAACTTTGCAAACGCTGGCTATTTTTGAATTACCAGTCCGAAAACTGGCTAGCCCATGCTATTTTTACAAATAGCGTGGCATTGTCATATTTACGGGTGGTTATTGAAAAATAGCTAGTTTTTTGCAAATTTATTGAAACGTAGCCACTATTTAAGGCGGAAGCACCCTAGCTATAACACAAAAACTTCCAGCATAATATATTGGATTATGGAACTCTTGCGTATAAACTTTCAGTATATTATGTTGGAACTCGAATACATTATGAATTCCAGCGCATTATGCTAGAATCTCATATGTAGAAAAATTCGAATTCTAATATATTGTGCTAGAATTTTTCCGAACTTTTAATGATGTTTTTGTTCAAATTTTATTTTCACATGAAAAAATAACTAAATTTTAATTACTTTTGAAACTATAACTAATTTTCAATTAGCGGATGTAAATCATGTTATTTCTGATTTTTTTTCCAATGATGAAGGAATTTAGTGTTTTGTATTTGATTTTTTGTTTTATATAATATTAGCTTTGCTTTTGTTTTTCCGGGAATCATTTTTGGGTCTGTATGTTTTAGTATCACTTAAATCATTCTTTTTATATTTATAACATTATAAAAGTATCGCACGTAATGCCAAGCAACCTTTTCTTTGGTCTAATTCAACTGTTTACAATTTAAATCTATCTATCTATCTATACTATATTAAAAGCACGAAAATCCTGGGTGAAATGTCATCCGTCATTTATGCCTTTTAAAAATAAACTTCATATTAGACAAAATCGTAATTTAATTATTTTTCTAATATTTAGTACTAGCAGGTATTATTAGTTCTAGAAATTAAAAGGATTACATTTAAAACTTCCAGACTTATGTGCAAACACATGTTGTCTTTTGTCAAGTATATTTAATAAAACTATATTTTGTATTTGTCAAACGTGCATCACACATATATCTCATATCAAATAGTTAAAAAAAAATTACATGTACATTGTTAAAATATGTGCATGAGTTATAAAATAATTTTTTTTTAAAAAGTGCAAGCTCAAAATTGTAACGACCCGGCTGGTCGAATTGAGTGTATTAGCTCCGATCCCCTATTAACTGCTTTCCCCTTATCTTTTTCTGCTTATGTGACTTGCCGGGAGGTTTTGTTTTTGGTTTCGGAGTGTTTTGGGACACTTAATCCCTAAACGGAAGCTTAAGCCTTAGGATTTTGACCGTAGTCGGAACTGTGTGAAGACGGCTCCGGAATGGAGTTTCGTCTATTGCGTTAGCTCCGTTGGGTGATTTTGGACTTAGGGGCATATCCGGATTGTGTTTTGGAGGTCTGAAGCTCATTTAAGCTTGAAATGGCGAAAGTCGAATTTTTGGAGATTTTGACCGGTAGTGGACTTTTTGATATCGGGGTCGAATTCGGATTTCGGAAGTTGGAGTAGGTCCGTAGGGTTGAATATGACTTGTGTGCAAAATTTAGGGTCAATCGGACGTGGTTTGATAGGTTTCGGCATTGGTTGTAGAAATTAAAAGTTTCAAGTTCATTAAATTTGAATCAGAGGGTGATTCGTGTTTTAATCGTTGTTTGATGTGATTCGAGGGCTCGACTAAGTTCGTATGGTATTTTAGGACTTGTTGGTATCATTGGTTGAGGTCCCGGGGGACCTCGGGTGTGTTTCGGATCATTATCGGATGCGTTTTGGACTTAGAGAAATGGGTAAAGTTCTATGATTTAGTGCATCTGGTTTCCTTATACGCGATCGCAAGAGAGGGGCCACGATCGCGTAGGCTCAGCTGGGCAGAGGAAGTTTTGTTCTTCGCGTTCGCGGGCATACGGATGCGAACGCGTAGTGGTGTGAAGTGGTGCTTCGCGAACGCATGGCCAAGGTCGCGTTCACGTAGAGTTAAGGAGGCTAAAGTTAGGCCACGCACTTTGCTCATCGCGAACGTGTGAGGACGTTTGCGATCGCGTAAGTCTGAGAGCCAGCACATCGTGTTCGCTTGATGTTTTGCGCGTTCGCATAGGGTTAAATCCTGGGGCAGCGAAGTTGTTTTTCGTGATCGCGAGGCTATTTCCGCGATCGCGATTAAGGAATCACTGTGCAGACTTATATCATTTCGAAACGAGGGTTTGGCCATTTTTATCAAAACTTGAGTTTGGGAGCTCGGATTTGGACGAGATTTTGAGAGATTTTCAGATATATCGATTGGATAATGATTCTACATTCTATTTTGGTTATATCTCACTAATCTATCATTAATTAATTCTTTAATTTCGATTTTGGGGTTGAAAAATTGAGGAAAATGGGAAGAAGTTCTTCAGTTAAAATTTCGAGTTTTGAATGGCGATCTGAGGTCGGATTCAAGTAATTCTTATATGGTTGGACTCGTGAGTGAATGAGTGTTCATATTTTGTGACTTTTACCCGATTCTAAGACGTGGGCCAGGGGAGGCTTTTGGGGCGATTTTCTAATTTCTTGCTTTAGCTTTGATTTTATTAATTAAATTAGTTTTTTATAGTTGTATTTATGGTATGTAATTAATTTTGGCTAGATTTGGGTTATTCGGAGTCGGATATTCGTGGAAAAGGTATTGTTACCGATTGATTGAGCTTGGTTCGAGGTAAGTGGCTTGCCTAACCTTGTGTGGGGGAAATCCCTTTACGATTTGGTACTGTTGTGATATGTGAGCGTCGTGTACGTGAGGTGACGAGCAGGCTATTTATTGTAGAACCCGATTTATTTTACTGAGTAGCAACCTGTTTTTTCTTTAATTTGAGTTATACCGTTTAAATGAGTATTAGTCTGTTTTCATTTTTAATTGAGCTATTCCAATATGTGTAGTTATCATGTTTAGTCTAATATCGCATGTCTACGTGCTTTAACTACTTATTTGAACTTTGTGAAGCATGCCTAGTTGATTTCCTATTTTTCCTTGTTCTTTATTAGTATAACTGTAGGAATCATGCTGTTAACTGTTGTATTTATCGATTTGAGCTGTGTGTTTACTTTTGAGACTACGAGGCGGTTCCTCGTGAGTTCTCCCTACACATTTACTTTTGAGACTACGAGGCGGTTCCTCGGGAGTTCTTCCTGCACATTTACTTTTGAGACTACGAGGCGGTTCCTCGGGAGTTCTTCCTGCACATTTACTTTTGAGACTACGAGGCGGTATCTTGGGAGTTCTCCTTGTATATTTACTTTTGAGACTACGAGGTCGTACCTCGGGAGTTCTCCCTACATATTTATTTTGGGATTACGAGACGGTATCTTGGGAGATCCCCTTCTATTTACTCCTATGTGTTGCACTGTTGCCTTGCTGTATTTATTTTTGTTAAATTCTAGTCTCTTATTATACTGTATATTCTCCTACTTTATTTATTATATACCAGTGGGCCTGACCTGACCTCGTCACTACTCGACCGAGGTTAGGCTTGACACTTATTGGGTACCGTTGTAGTGTACTCATGCTACTCTTCTACACATGTTTTCGTGTGCAGATCCAGGTACTTCTTATCAGCCCCGCTACTAGCTGAGAGTGCTTGCTGTTGTACAGAGACTTCAAGGTACACCTGCCGCGTCCGCAGACCTCGGAGTCCCTTTCTACTCTTTCCCATGTCCATTATCTTCTGTATTTCTTTTGTTAGACTCTGATGTATAGAGATATTAGGTTTCCTTCTGTAGTTTGTGATTTACGATGTTCCAGGTTTTGGGAAACTGTGTACGTCTAGTGTTTTGGTTATTGTATATGCCGAGCAGCATTATTATTGGTTATTCAGTATCTAATGTAGTTAGCTGTTTAGTTTTGCTTCCATTATTGATATTTTCGCAATCTGTTAGGCTTACCTAGTCGTAGAGACTAGGTGCTGTCACGACATGTCTCGGAAGGATATTTGGGTTGTGACAAGTTGGTATCAGAGCTCTAGGTTCAAAGATGAAGAAAATTGAGATCTCTTCGCTCCCGGATGTTTCTCGTGTGTATTCTCCCTTCAAAGTGTTGTCCCCCTCTAAAAATAAGCGTAATCTTGCTTTTATATGTGTTGGTTAGGTCTAGGGATGAAATAACCTTGTCCCAGGCAAAATTGGACAGGATTTATGCCACCAGTACCCAGCCCAGTGCTAGGCGCTGTCCCTTTGCCCTAGCAAATTGGAGTATACTGCCTCTGGCGCCACAGGCAGCTCCAGGCGCTGTCTGTGGCACTGGAAATTCCCTTTTTTTGTTTTTTTCCGCTTTAGCTCTAATCTCGCACCTTTCGCCCCCAATTGCTCCCGGATCATTCCGAAACATAAAAATACCTTAAATTATTATAAATCAACAAATTTTACATCCTAAATACACGAAATAAAAGTAAAACATGAGGAAATATACATATGTGTTGTTATCCTGTTTAGTCTAATATCGCATGTCTACGTGCTTTAACTACTTATTTGAACTTTGTGAAGCATGCCTAGTTGATTTCCTATTTTTTCTTGTTCTTTATTAGTATAACTATAGGAATCTTGCTATTAACTGTTGTATTTATCGGTT